AGAATAATCGAAGCATGTTTAATTGCACATTGAATGTGCTGAAATTTTAACGGATTTTGACAATCTTGTATTCTAAGCTGAGATGGACGTCGTCATATGAGCGAAATATTCTCCAGCGCGACGTTAAACCCAATTTCACCTCACCTCTAAGCTGAGATAGGGAAGGAGTTACGAGGATACAGTATTACTGACAAAGCTTCACAAGTTCTTGTGCACTTTATTAAAGTGTTGAAGCCTTCCGGCAGCACCTTATGTTGGTTGTCGCCTTGTTTGTGGCCGTTTATTTAGTTTGCCCCGTGACGTGAGAGGCACTTCTTACAAGTCAACTCCCTGTCTGTGTGTCCTGACACTGTGCTGTGGAAAAACATCTTTACTCAAGTCTTTTCTAGTGCAGCCGTGATATGTGTTTGTTTCTTTGCAATAGCAAAGTCTAAGAAAGTGAGATAAAACAATTTCTTTGGAATCTTGTTTTTTTCTTACTATGCTTATTCTACCGTGCCAGAAGCATTTGGTGACAACACGAGTTGTGTTGAAAGGAAACTGATGAAGTCAGATGCACTTTGTAATGAAGGCAATATTTGAGGAGGAACGGCGTCAAACATACATCAATCAAGTCATTGGAGGAATGTTTCATCCCAAATTGCATCAGCGTCATTCTCCATTCTTGCTGAAGAACGCCAGTGCTAGTTTTGTACCTTCCCACAGACATGCCATGGTAGATAAGCTTCACTTTGTTGTCTTAGCCTTACGACATAACATTAAGTAAAAATCAGTTAACTCCCTTGCGTCATTACTGCCCTCAATAGGATTTCCCCTAATCCCGTCAGCAAGGAATGAATGTTTAATGAAACCACATGTACAAGGAGGAGCTTATGATAATTACCGTAGTTGTTGTGTAAAACCACACTGATAGACAATAGAGTCTGTTACAGTTTGTAGAGCATGTAGTTTAGGGAATGATCGTTCATTACATTCACATCCCATTTTTAGTATTTTTTAAACAAATGTGCAAAAATTAAGATTTGGTGGTTCATTTAGACTATTTTACCCCTTTGCAGAAATATCGTTGTTACAGCTGATACAGATGTTTTGTTCTGGGAATATATGTAAGTCTTCAATATTATGGGCGAATCAAAGTTGATGGTTGCAAAGAAATACTTAGCCCATATACTAACAATGTACCACATATGGAAGGTTCATTTCTGAACTTCATTTAGTTATTTAAACCGGTTGTTTTAATGAAACTCATTTTTTAAATAAATGTATTGAACTGCATCTTTATGATTATTTTAATGAGGCTTCCTTGTCAAAGCCTATGGATCCTTTTTAGGATTCTAACCAGAGATGATATGGTGTTGATCACGTTTAGAATCAAATGTCTCAATGCCACAAAACCTTTCTGGTAAATGATATTTATATTAGAAGGATTACGGTATCCACCATCTGCTTGATAACAGGTCTGAGGGGCTTCACTATAGATGGTAATTGCCAGACCATCTTGTTTCAATTAGCGCAAGTTCGATGTGCTTGTCCATGACTCCTCCTTACAGTGGGCAGGATGGTTGAGCTAGAGGTACACTTTCTGAGGGATACTATGTGTAGCTGACGTCCCTTGAACACTCCTGCACAGTCGGTTTGTTGTCTTCTTGTCAACTGTTTATTGTTTATCAGCTATTAGCTCAGAAGGGTGTAAACGCCAAGCCAAAATCTTTTCAGCTGTCTCTTGGAAAAGAAAATTTTCTCACCTACAGAAAGTGGTATCTGAGATGACTATGCCACAATGTTGAATTATTGACCTTCATAGCAACTTTGAAATGAAGGTATGATAGTAGTGCTGTTGTCATTATTTGTTGCCGAGTGGCATTGATTTGCCACAAGCAGTGTTGGATCAACCTGTACATTTGCCTGTGGGCATGTTCTCTGGCATTAACTCAGTGATACAATGAAGAGAATCAGTTTGGTTTAAAATATGTAAGTATGTAACTTGTTCAGACTATTTTGGAATTGCTTTCCAATTGTCCGAGTGTTGTTTTGTTGTTCAGATCACCAGTCTCTCTTTTATTGTTGTTCTGATTCACAGTCTGTCCTACATGAGTCTTATCCTAACTAACCCTTGAATGTCCGGGTCAGAATTGGTCTTCCGTAACCCATGCTTTTCTTGTGAGGTAACTAACGGGATCGGGTTGTTAGGCTCACTGACTTGGTTGACACATGTCATTGTATCCCAATTGTGTAGATTGATGCTCATGCTGTTGATCACTGGATTCTCTTGTCTAGACTCAATTATTTACAGACCACCACCATATACTTGTAATATGTTGCTGAGTGCAGCGTAAACCTAGACTCATTCACTCTAATCCTAACAGCCTAATAGACTTCATGTAAGCTTTTGTTTTGTTTGTTTGGCTTTCTTTGTCAGGATTCATTCAATCTGTTTTGTCTCAATGTCTTTATCTAATCTTTCCCAAAGTTCCATGGCCAGAGATCATAAGTTAATGCATAGGTTGTGCACAAGTAAATTCAACTCAATACAATCACAGTGTTCTTCCACATTAATTTTCAAATTCAATCTTTTTTTTTGTTTTGTATGAAATGTTTTTCGTCTCACTCTTTCAAAATTCATGTAACTGCCTTTTCAGAATAACTCTCATGCTGGGTCATAAATGCCTGTTTAAATTGTTCATCCTTTCATTAAATGTACCTCTAGAGCATTCTATCTACAATTTTTCTGTCTGTTAGATGAAAATAATGTTATATATTTTATGTGCCTGACTGTGATTCAAAGAAAATTCCGAATCATAATTTATGAGGGTCGGTGGGGTATGAAATGTTTTTCGTCTCACTCTTTCAAAATTCATGTAACTGCCTTTTCAGAATAACTCTCATGCTGGGTCATAAATGCCTGTTTAAATTGTTCATCCTTTCATTAAATGTACCTCTAGAGCATTCTATCTACAATTTTTCTGTCTGTTAGATGAAAATAATGTTATATCTTTTATGTGCCTGACTGTGATTCAAAGAAAATTCCGAATCATAAGTTATGAGGGTTGGTGGGGTAGCCTTGTGGTTAAAGTGTTAGCTCGTCACGCCAAGGACCCAGGTTCGATCCCCTACATGGGTACAATGCGTGAAGCCCATTTGTGGTGTCCCCCGCCGTGATGTTGCTGGAATATTGCTAAATGCGGCAGAAAAACCATACTCACTCACTCACTCACATGATTTAAGAGTAAAGTCAAGAAAACATTACCTTGTTAGCAAGTTGCCTGTTGTTTCAATATTGAATGTATAATTTAACACCTGTGTATGAATGTGACACTGGTGCCAATTTATATGTATGAAACAATTAACACTTGTTTGTCAGTGAAAATACATGGAAATAAAATTATGCTAAACATATACCGTATGAATATCCATTTGACATGTTTACAAACACAGTTTTGTTTCTCCCGTCAAGATGAAAACACCCCTCTCCAAAGTGGAGAAGTCTTGATTAAGGTTCAGAAGTTGCAACAGTTTTAGTGCTACGATTGTTGAACAATAGTTTGGCACTGCGTGGAGCTCTGTTTAGTAATTGCTTGATCAGCAGTCGAAAAGTTGGTGAGTCAGTAACAAACCATACGATTTAAGGATAAACATCTTCTTGTTTATTGCATAGTGTGACATTCAGATGTAGATTCTTACATTGTTATCAAGCTTTTTCTATTTTCTATGATTTCGTTGCATTACTACAAATTATCATGCTTCCATGTTTTAAGTCACTGGTGCGCTGGTCCAGACACAGTTCTTAACAGACTATGTTACAGATAGATCCCGTCAGAGTTCTGAGTCAATAATTCATTTGTTCATCCGATTCCTACTGTTGACCTACAATAGATCCGAGTCCTACCATAGATCCAAGTCCTACCATAGATTCCAGTCCTACCATAGATCCGAGTCCTACCATAGATTCAAGTCCTACCATAGATCCGAGTCCTACCATAGATCCAAGTCCTACCATAGATTCCAGTCCTACCATAGATCCGAGTCCTACCATAGATTCCAGTCCTACCATAGATCCGAGTCCTACCATAGATCCGAGTCCTACCATAGACTCCAGTCCTACCATAGATCCGAGTCCTACCATAGATTCAAGTCCTACCATAGATTCCAGTCCTACCATAGATCCGAGTCCTACCATAGATTCCAGTCCTACCATAGATCCGAGTCCTACCATAGATCCGAGTCCTACCATAGATTCCAGTCCTACCATAGATCCGAGTCCTACCATAGATTCAAGTCCTACCATAGATCCGAGTCCTACCATAGATTCAAGTCCTACCATAGATCCGAGTCCTACCATAGATCCGAGTCCTACCATAGATTCCAGTCCTACCATAGATCCGAGTCCTACCATAGATCCGCGTCCTACCACAGATCTGAGTCCTTCCATAGATTCGAGTCCAACGACAGGATCGATGGTGTACGTCCACGTCATATTTCTTTACAAAATATAAGAAGTGGCCATTGGAACACAATACAAGTTCCCGAAATGAATTACTCTTCGGTCATTAAGCCTGTAAACAAGTCATGTCCTGCTTACTGCCATGATTCTCTCCAAGCGCTACAAACATGAGGTGTTAAGAGGAATTTGACGGTTGCAGTGTGTTATTGCATGATGTGTCCTTGAGGATAATTCCATCTCCTGCTTCATGAAATCAAGCAAACAGGTTGAGGTTTGCTGAAGTTTACATTGTTTGATATGCAGAGTGAGTGAGAGAGTATGGTTTTAAGCTGCTTTTAGCAATATTCCAGCAATATTACATTGGGGGACACCAGAAATGGCTTTCACACATTGTACCCATGTGGGGAATGAAACCCAAGTCATTGTAGTGACGAGCGAATGCTTTAACCACTTGGCTACCCAACCGCCCCTGGATATAGTGACAGGACTACAAAGGATAGTTTTAATATATGTATTAAAGTTTTGTTTTCAGAAGTGACAATGTGTTTTGTATTTTCAGCTGATGTTAAGATGAGGGCGAAGCCTGAGAAGACAGCTCCCCTTGGGAATGCCAAGTCATCTATTTTGGAGTCTGAACACAGGGTGCTGGAGAGTAAGTATACCGTGTGGTATATGTTACTGTATTGTTGATGACACATCCTGCATGGTGCATAGCAGGTGATATTGTCACTTTATCGTTGATGACACTGGGTACTGGACAGTAAGTCATGCGATACAGTCAGTATATCATTGATGACACTTGGCATTGGACAGTAAGTCATGCAATACAGTCAGTATATCATTGATGACACTGGCACTGGGTACAGTCAGTATATCATTGATGACACTGGGTACTGGACAGTAAGTCATGCGATACAGTCAGTATATCATTGATGACACTGGGTACTGGACAGTAAGTCATGTGATACAGTCAGTATATCATTGATGACACTGGGTACTGGACAGTAAGTCATGCGATACAGTCAGTATATCATTGATGACACTGGGCATTGGACAGTAAGTCATGTGATACAGTCAGTATATCATTGATGACACTGGGTGACAGTAAGTCATGTACAGTCATATCATTGATGACACTGGGTACTGGACAGTAAGTCATGTGTCATACAGTCAGTATATCATATCATTGATGACACTTGGTACTTGGACAGTAAGTCATGTGATGACAGTCAGTATATCATTGATGACACTGGGCATTGGACAGTAAGTCATGTGATACAGTCAGTATATCATTGATGACACTGGGCATTGGACAGTAAGTCATGTGATACAGTCAGTATATCATTGATGACACTGGGCACTGGACAGTAAGTCATGTGATACAGTCAGTATATCATTGATGACACTGGGCATTGGACAGTAAGTCATGTGATACAGTCAGTATATCATTGATGACACTGGGCATTGGACAGTAAGTCATGTGATACAGTCAGTATATCATTGATGACACTGGGCATTGGACAGTAAGTCAGTACAGTCAGTATATCATTGATGACACTGGGCATTGGACAGTAAGTCATGTGATACAGTCAGTATATCATTGATGACACTGGGCATTGACAGTAAGTCATGTGGATACAGTCAGTATATCATTGATGACACTGGGCATTGGACAGTAAGTCATGTGATACAGTCAGTATATCATTGATGACACTGGGCATGGACAGTAAGTCATGTACAGTCAGTATATCATTGATGACACTGGGCATTGGACAGTAAGTCATGTGATACAGTCAGTATATCATTGATGACACTGGGTACTGGACAGGTCACAGTAATCATTGATGACACTGGGCATTGACAGTAAGTCATGTGATACAGTCAGTATATCATTGATGACACTGGGCATTGGACAGTAAGTCATGTGATACAGTCAGTATATCATTGATGACACTGGGCATTGGACACTGTATAGTCAGTATATCATTGATACAGGAGTATATCATTGATACAGTCAGTTATCACTGATGACACTGGTTGGACAGTAAGTATATCTTGAGATACAGTCAGTATATCATTGATGACACTTGGTACTGGACAGTAAGTATATCATGTGATACAGTCAGTATATCATTGATGACACTGGGTACTGGACAGTAAGTATATCATTGATGACACTGGGTACTGGACAGTAAGTATATCATTGATGACACTGGGTTGACACTGGGTACTGGACAGTAAGTATATCATGTAACACAGTCAGTATATCATTGATGACACTGGGTGGACAGTAAGTATATCATTGATGACACTGGGTACTGGACACTAATATATTAAACGATATAGTCAGTCTATCATTGATGACACTGGGTGGACAGTAAGTATATCATGCATACAGTCAGTATATCATTGATACAGTCAGTATATCATTGATAACACTGGGTACTTGACACTAATATATTAAATGATAGAGTCGGTATATATTGATGACATTGGTTACTGGACAGTAATATATTAAACGATATAGTCGGTATATCATTGATGACAGTGTATTGTGTGGAAGTTTAGTGTGTGGAACAGATCGATCCAAATACAGGGCACAGGACAATGAATATATAATGTGAGGTAGCTGATATATAATGGAAATTGCTATTGACATAAGATACAAAAAAGTGTGTGTAGTGGGTGAATCATGTGTGAACCATTACTTGAATCATGTAAAGGTTTTCACTGTAAGGTTATTTGAAGCTTGCTCTTGGTTTCTGCCATTACAAACTGTGTTCAACTTTGATATGATGCAATGTATATTATAACATGCTGATGTGCTCTTGTTTGAAGTGATTATTTCATGAGAACCTAATGTCTTCTTCCAGGACTTACCTTACCGGAGTATAAGATGAGGTTTCGATCTCGGTTCCTAAGCCTACACAAGGTTCACCGTCGGCGCCGGCCAGTGCTGAAGGTGGTTGGACATAACAAAGTCCTCTTGGATTCTCACTATGGCAACCAAGCACAGGTTAGTCATCACATTATCCTTCAGGTCTAACATGCACGGAGCATTCTTAGTGGCATGGCTGTTACAGCTGCTTCACTTGAATAAATATACGAGTCAAAAGAAGTTTAAGAACACAATTCTTCCATTCTTCTTTTTGTGTAGTGGGGCAGTGAGGTTGTCTAGTGGTTAAAGCGTTCGCTCTCCACGCTGAAGACCTGGGTTCGATTCCCCACATGGGTACAATGTGTGAAGCCCATTTCTGGTGTCCCCTGCCGTGATACTGCTGGAATATTGCTAAAAGCGGCGTTAAACTAAACTCACTCACTCACACTTTTGTGTAGTATATCTATCAGTTTAACGGTGGCAATCTGAGAAAATCAGATGTTCCTTACTTCTTTTGAGTAGAATGGTTGTCCTACTATTGATTTGTTTTGCAATGCTTTTTTCTGAATTTAACAGTTTTATTAGACAGGTCATGTGGAAAGCTGATAATTATGACTTTTCCAATGTTTAATTCCTGCAGTAGCATTTCAGACATTTTCACAAACATGAAACAGACTTTGGTAGGGGTTTAGGTTAAGAAATGTCATGAAGCATCCCTACTGTTCTGTAATGATTGGGCTCTGACAGCAGTGTCTAACACCAGTGTTCCTATTCATGTTATAGGAATGGTAGATCAATGGCTGATTGAGAATGTGTGCTGTTACCCAATATGATCAAAAGGTACAGATGTTTTATTGCATGTTTGAAACTTGACCCTGTGGAGGAATATATTGGATCATTCTTGGTGCTGGAATATTGATATAGTTTGGAGTCAGCTTATGTTAGCTAGAGCAGAGATAGAGAGGTTTGCACTGCGTAACAAAAACTTTTTGAAGGGCAATTCACTCTGCAAAGGTGCATTCGGTAGGTTTGCCAGAGTGAATTTGAGTTAGAATCCCATTTTCTTGGTTTGTCTGAGCCTGGGGTTATTCAAAGTGTTTAACATACTAATGGTATCACTTCATCACCACCTTTTAGTGTGTTACCCATGGTTTGGTTTGAAGTTTGTGGAAGGTATTAGAAGTTGGTTTAGTTTCGGTCAGATTATGAAGAAAATTGTGGCTTGCTGTTCACAAATGTACACTCAGTGCGGCTGTCTTTCCAATGACTTGTCAAAACTTAGGAGGGGCGGTGGGGTAGCCTAGTGGTTAAAGTGTTTGCTCATCATGCACAAGGCCTGGGTGCGATTCCCCACATGGGTACAATGTGTGAAGCCCATTTCTGGTGTCCCCTGCTGTGATATTGCTGGAATATTGCTAAAAGCGGCGTAAAACTAAACTCACTCACTCACTCACTCAAAACTTCTGAAACATCTTGAGCTATGTAATACATCGTCTTTAATCAACTGTGTTGATTCTGGGTTAGAATGTGTCCCCCACCTTAGTTTCTTGTACAGTGGGGATGGTTTAAGCATTTACTTGTCACAGACCTGGGTTCAATTCCTCGAGGTATGATAAAGCAAACAATTAGTACTGTTCAAAAGATGAAGAGTGACCAATTCTTTCACAGGACAACAGTTCATCTGTGAGTGAGTGAATGTGTTTATGCTGCTTTTAGCAATATTCCAGCAGTATCATGGTGGAGGACACCAGAAATGGGCTTCACACAATGTACTCATGGGGAATTGACCCTGGATCTTCGGTGGGATGAGAGAAGGCTTCAACCATTGGCCCAGTTCATGTGTCATTCCCTAAGAAGTTGAAGAAAACCCAATTCTGCCATTTGAGTTGAGTTGGGGTTTACGTCACATCGGCATTATTCCAGCCATATAGTGACAAGATCAAGTCTGCATTCACACCCATTTTTTAATACAAAGTCCAAAAGATTTAGAAACTCAAGAAACATATATATTCATGACTTTATTATTTACAAACAGAATATGTCATAGGACCAAATTAAAAAACAAGCAATCCGTCCTTCACGTAGTTACAAGATACAGGTCAACTTCCCTCAGGTAGCTAACAATGAGATGTCCACTGACGCGGGAAAACAGGTCTTTCAGATTTATCGCTTCATAATGTGAGTCCCTTGCAGTTGTTAAGTCCACACAGTCAAGTAGTATATGCTTGATGGTGAACACTTCATCGCAAGATACACATAGGAGGTCCATCTCCATCAGTTTTGAGCAGATAGTCATGAGTATACCGACTGTGGCCAATACGACATCACCGTAAAATACCTCATCTATAGACAATCTGTCATGACATGACATAGTAACTGTAGTAATATGACGGAATCAGGTGATCTTTACTTCTTTTCAGTAGTAGATTTCTCCATGAGAATTGATGAAACAACTATCTTGATATCTGTGTCTTACAGACTGGCCCCGGTGCTCTTCTCTATCTCTAACCTCTATGCCTAACCTGTCATGTTTGTGTAGTGTCCCCTACTCTCTATTGATTTAGTTTTGTCAGGACCCAGTAACATATCGTATAATTTACCAATTTCCACTATATTTCTGGAAGAGAGATAATGGCTTAAATCATTGTCATGGGTTAGTGATTTCTGATTTGTGCATTTTACCTGTTGCTTGCAGCTTGCAATACTTATCTGCCGGGAATAGCTGCTAAAAATTGTTGATGCAGCGTTAGGCAATTTTCACTCACTCACTGCAGTGCCACCAACAATGGTTCAGGATTCATGATTTTGGTTGGAAGGTTTTGGGGCATTCAGAAAAAGTGCATTGCGGGTGGGGGTTCCTTCCATTTCGGCATGTAATGCAAACGCCATTCCTGTTCAAGGAATCATTATGTACGTCAAGTTATTATGTTAACTGTGTCCTGTGTAGTATTTGAACCTATTACAAAACATACCTACCAGCTCCTAGTATGTCTACTGGACCAGGCATGGGATAGGTTTATACTTTCAAATCATGTTTTCTGAGGTTAGCTGGCCAATGTACTGGGTCTGTCATTAGGCTTTGGGTCTGGACCAGGGTATTGTCTTGACAGCTGGTCATGTAATCTCCCTATAATGTCCACCAGCAGGGGATCAAGCAGGACGTCCAACAGGATTAGCCACAGAAACTGATTGAATTCACAGTTCCATGCTTGCTCATAAATGTCAAATAGTATTACTGTCAATGAACATTTTTGGGTGCTGATTTTGAAAATGTTCCGAATGGATTTTGTTCGATATGTTGACAAGTCATCACTAATTTCATGTGTATTCAGAAGCAAGGGGTAATGGTTTCAAGGGCATTGTTGTGAAGGTTCATTGACCTTTTGTCAGGGTAGACTTTGTTAATTATGATCTGGTTCATTTTGGGAGTTGTTTCTGAATTATTGACCGTTCATGAGGGCAATATCACTGATATTGACCGAGGGTAGCACCCAAGGTCAATAATTGTTCTACTGTACAACAAAAATTTCAAATTCAAAGATAAATTATTAATATGTCACAGGAACCCAGAGGAAATGATGCACGTGAAGACTCGCATTCCACTCTTACTGATTGTTTGTAAAATATTTGTTTCCTTAACAGTTCATTATCTTCATCATGCAGAGCAATACCACTCTAGATCGCTGCACAGCTGCACTGCCTTAATGAAGGTCATGTGACTATCTCAGCCAATGAAAATACAGATGTAATTTGTAACTATAATAATGGTTATTTCGTAGGGAATCTGATCAGGTAGCCAAGCGAAGGGGAACCTGCTCAATAGAGTTATCTCATTCAAATTGGGCCGGTTTGAATTATGTCCGTCAGTAACAGATGAGTAGACATCTGTTTATCACGACACTAAACTTTTGTAGAAACCATCAAGGCAACTAAAGCTGACTCCAGCATACGCCCTCATTTGTCACCCTCCTCATGTCTGTCTTAGAAATGACAACAGATCATTATGCAAGATGACACAGATTACATGGGGTTTTTTTTATTCATTCATGTAGTTTATCTGTCACTGTTCCTGGTACAGCATATCTAGAATATGGTAATATCAGGACAGTGTCCACTGTTTCCCTGTATGATGTATGATGTAGCACACATATTCTATTATGACAGTTTTTTATCTAGACATTAGCTAAATGGTGATTCAGCATTATGGAAGAGATATCATTAAATCTGGAAGGCATGTTGACCTCATTTTGCATGTGGGCGGTGGGGTAGTCTAGTGGTTAAAGCGTTGGCTCGTCACGCCGAAGACCCGGGTTCGAATCCCCACATGGGTACAATGTGTGAAGCCCATTTCTGGTGTCCCCAGCCGTGATATTGCTGGAATATTGCTAAAAGCGGCGTAAAACCAAACTCAGTCAGTCAGTCAGTCATTTTGCATGTCCCAATTTGAAATTGCTGAATTATTTCATGCAGGAAAGTGTACATATATGCTCTGTACAAGAACGATTTTTTAATTGTTTAGTCTGTTAAATGTCTTTTGTGAATATTCGTTTTTCTCGAATTGTATTTGCTGAAAATGTTGAATATCTTTTTCGAGCAGTTTTAACTCACCAGTTCTTGTGTTATCAATTAATAGTTTCTCATTACACACAATTGGATGCTACTTGCTATATAATATGATGAGGATTCAGAGAAACCTTGTGATTGACAGGGCAGGTATTCTGGAACATTGCTTAAAGAGTGATAACAATCCAGATCCACTTTTGCTGAATTTGCTTTGGCCAGTAGTTAGTTCAAAGTGAGAACTTTATATTTTCTGAAGTACGTTTTGTTTGTTTGGACACAGCTATATAACTTGATAATGGGATCGGCTGACTTGGTTGACACGTCATCGTATCCCAATTGTATAGATCAATGCTCATGCTGTTGATCACTGGATTGTCTGGTCCAGACTCGATTGTTCACAGTCCGCCGCCATATAGTTGGAATATTGCTAAGTGCGGCGTAAAACTAACCTCACTCACCCACTATCTATAAGGGACCAGCATGAACGTGAAACACTATCATCTCTGTCAGGATTTAGTACCGAGCACTCCTGGTCTATTTCCTTCTATAATCAAGAGAGCATCTGTAGTGACAGA